CACACTCACAATACAATTACAAGTGCAACTATACCTATTTATAATAATTAGGTTCCTCTCGAATTTGCAAATTTTATATATTTCCCTAAGTTCGTTATTTCTTTTGAATTTTTCACACTCAATAATCCTTTCAATTTAAATATGCTTGGCTTTTTAATATAATAAGTTTTCAAAACAATTGCTCGCAAATCAGAATGACATGATCTTCAACATCATCTAAATTACCAACAAATACACACTCGACGATTCAATGTTTTGATATCGCCCTTTTTCTAATTTTAAGTTATGAGGAGATATTTTTTTTTTTATTTCTTTCAGATATTCCCTTTGTATGGGTTTACGCAGGTAGTTTTGTAGATCAAAATGATCGTAGATATATCTATAAAAATTTGCTTTTCAGAATATTCTATTTTTTTTCTGCACATTCCTCTCTAAAAATATCAATAAACTTTTCTTTAATTAATTAATAAATCTTGTTGTCGTTAATATAATATTTCCAAATATACCCTCGGCCAGGTTAATCCCAGCCTCTGATTTATACTGTCCACTGCGTAACTTGCTAAAGGCGCTAAGTGGTACTAATTGGTCAGCTGTTTAAAGGTCAATTATCTTTTTCATTGAACCATGTAAGCTCATAGGTACACTAGCCCGGAACCGCTTGACTGATTTTTGACACCTTTATAATTACCACACACAGAGGGCACTCCGTTAACAAATTCACACAAAACTTTGTAAATTCATAGAAAAGCTTGAAAAAATATTAACTTAATTTCTGTACTATTTGTGTACTTCTATATGTATCTATGCTATGTACAATGTTGTAATTGTGTACATCACACGCCATGTATCATACTTACTATATGTATGTGACCTCTTGTTACACACGTAAGTGTGTCGGAGTGAATAAATAAAAACTTAAACTTAAACTTAAACTTAAACAAACTTACTATAGACAGAAATGTATTGTAATATATACGTCTCTGCTATAGACAACAAGGAATTACACTCTATTTTCTCAGGAACTCAGTCACATGATGACAATAAAGTTATCTTCATAATGATTTTTTTTAATGATTATTGAAAAAAAATAGATTAGTTTTAAAACAAATCATCTACGTGAGAAGTTAAATATCCTAATAAGGGACTTTTTATTATTAAATTAGGAATTCCAAGTTCCAAATATTAGTTTACCTTGGTTAAGGCACTGTTGTGAAATGAAATTGTGCCTGGGACTGTCATTTCCTGATCGAGGGACAGCCAAAGTATCTTACCTGTAGGTTTTTACCTTGAACTGATTTACCTGTATACAGCTGTACGTGGTGGATAGACAATGAAATGAATTAATTGACATGGACTTAATTGACTTGAAATCTCAGAATGTGACCTTGATCAGGTACAGCACATCAGAATCCAATGTGACCACAGGTGAATGGTCAATGCATTATCACTGCCTAGATTCTCAGGTATATAGATATCATATTGAAAGAAATGTATCTGTCAGCGGGTGGTCATGTTGCCCTAACAACCTTTATAACGGACACTAAAATTGTTTATACCTTAAACAAGGGACAGGTCATTACCACATGGCCAGCTGTATGCCTGTTATTTAAATTACCCCTAAGGCCTAGATGCTGGTGTGGGGAACACACAGTAGGCCCATGGGAGGAGGGCTGTTACGTCCATGTATGTGTAAACCGTCATTTCTGTGGGTTTTTTTCCTTCAGACTTTAATGATGGTTGGAATAATTTTCACGTAATGCAGTTTATAATGGGTTTTTTTTACAATTCGTTTCGACAAATATGTATTCCGTAAAATTTTCGACCGAACGTTTCACAAACGCTTTTTAAATGGAAAGATGTAGACGCAAGTGCTACGGAAACGATACGGAAGTGCTACGCAAACGCTACGCAAGTGCTACGGAAATGCTACGGTAATGGTACGGAAGTACTACGGAAATGCTACGCAAGTGATACGCAAGTGCTACGCAAACGGTACGGAAATGCTACGGAAACGGTACGCTGAAAGTGGAACAGCGAACGTGTACGGGTCTGTAGCATGCATCTCTAAAGGTTTGCATTCTGTGAGGAGTACAATTAACAATGATCATGGTGACATAAACAGTTAAACACTACCTTACACAGGGTTATGTCGCGACAGTGTTTCAATTTTTGGAAAAAACAAACTAAAAAATTCAGCGAAGAATTCTAGTCAAGTGACATAACCTTAAGATACATTACATTTCAAAAATCGTACTAGATTTTCATAGTATATAGTTTGATGCTGTAAGTCTATAAATAAAAGGAAAGCATGTGTGTATTACTTTGCATTCCTGATTTAGTACTTGTGTACATGTTGACTTGAATAAATGTTTAATAGGATTGCCAAAATTCCATGTGTCATGGTGTCTGGCGTTGCAAAATCTTCCGTCTATGAGATTGGTGACGAAGATGTCAATAGCCTCCGGAACATGTGGAATGCAGTGTACGTCAAAGGTGGTTGGAGGATCATTTTCCCCTTGTGGGGTCTGAAAGCGATAGCTGGGAGAAGTACAGGAACATATCCGGGTAAAGTCCTTCTTGTTAATTAATTAATTAATTTGTATGTTATACCGCAATCTTAGCATTTTATCTAGGTATTCTCTGCTGAAGGTAGGTGAATTATGAAATTGACGTCACTTTTAGTATAAAGTATCAAACGTATGATATTGTAATTGTTGGATAATTATTCCTAGTGGTAATAATTGACGTAAGTTTGGATCATTAAGTTCATTTATCAGTGTTATTCCTGACCTGAACAAATCTTTCTTTGCTTCTTCAATTGTTTCGGTATATTTCACTCGTCCATGCTTGGTAACTATGCAACTAAGAGTAATTTTAGGACAATACTCGTTTTCCATTTGAAGGAAAGGACATAGCTCTAAAAGGCGATGCTTTGCAGGAGATGGTTCTCAACGCCATAAACGAATACTACTTTCTTACTGACCCGTCAGAGTTCATCTTCAGATGTATGCCTGATAACGAAAATTGGCAGCTGATCAAATCTCCATACACAAAAACAAAATTCATCTCAGTGCCCCTGTTACGGCCGAAATTTTTCGAATATGGATTAAAATCGCAGGCCGGCTCACAAGAAGGTATTATCCTGTGTGAAGAGGGAGTGTGTGAAGTTAAGCTCACATACTCAAAAAAGTACGTGCAACTACTTCCGGTTCTGATGTTCTATGACAGAGAAAACGGCGGAGAACACACTAAAATAGAGCGCCACACAGCGGTGATTATTGAAGGGAATGTCGTCAGATTTGTGATGAGGTTCCCCAAAGGAGGAGTATACAAATTACAGATCCTAGATATATATAATGCGTGGGTTTGTTCTTACAAAGTGGTCTGTGTTGAGCCGAGCTGCATGGGTCCATTCCCTGTTGAGGCAGAGCTTGGATTCGGTCCCTATAGTGATCTAAAAGAGACACTTGGATTGGAGGCGAAATCGCATTTGAAGGGTATGGAGGTTATCCTAACCGGCGATGAGGCTGAATTTACATTTGCACGCTCCAGACCTTTGAACTTCATGGTAGAACTGGTTCACAATGAAATTTGGGAAGAGGATCTGGCTGACTGTGTCTCGTTTAAATCTGACATGGGTCAGCTTGTGGTCAAGGTCAAAATCGACATAAAAGGGGAATTTGTTTTGATGATCCACACAAAGGACGTAGGGTCAACGGAAGATTTTGACAATGTCGTCAATTACCTTCTCATTTTAAAGGAACCAAAGAAGAAAAAGCCAGGAGAGGAAGAAGAAATGGTAAGTAATTACATTAAAAAAGTTGCTGATATTGATTTTTTTTTTATAACATTTGATTTAATATACTTACATGTACTTTGTTATAATCTATAAATATTTTTTCTTCTTTATTCTTCAACAAGTTGTTTTTCTTTTGCAAATAGCTAACAGCATTCAGTGGAATGGAACCAAAAGTCCTCAAGAGTCTTGGTCTTGAAAAAGTTGCGAACAAAGGTAAAGCTAAAAACGACGCAGCGCAAAACGAGGAGGATGACAGAAAGAGAAAGGAAAACATAAAAAAGATGAAAGCAATGGCAAAACCAGTTGACAAAGAGAAAAAGAGGGCACAGGAACTGGCAAGCTTGAAGAAAGGTAAATGAATTTTTTTCCGTTGGTCTGTTTATATGATATTTTCAACCACAAGTATACTGTTTAATGAAAACATTATCAGCTGTATTTACAGACGTAAAGAGTAGATATTCAATAAATAATGTTTATTGCCGGTCATGTCTGTGTTTCATGTCTGATGTGACATGTATGTTAACATTGTACTATTGTTTTTTAAAGCATTGACTGCAGCTATAGAGAGCCGAAACATTGACCAGCTGGAACGAGCCATTGAGGATAGTAAGACGTACCCGGAACTTCATGATCAGGTGAGCGAGGCGGAAACCAAGTACAGTGCACTCCAGAGAATGAAAAAACACTCGTCCCAAGTGATGGAAATGGCGCAAACTACTATCTCCGAATTACACCGGTACAAGGAACCGACAGTAGCCATTCATGAAGTCATGAAGGCCACTTTTCTACTTCTCGGAGAAAGTGAATCCGGTACTGTGGTAAGTTTTGGTACAGTTTGATATATATATATATATATATAATTGCAACATGAAGAAGATTGTGTAAAACGATAATATCCTGTTAACTCTTAAACACGTATTCTAATATGATTTGCAACAGTTTACAATTTGAACATTAATCTGAAAAAAATGTTTAGAACTAGTTTCTATTCACAACTTAGATATGTTTGGTATTTGTGAATGTGAGTTTTCCACGATTGAATTACACTTGTTTTTAAAAATGGTTCTACTTAGATGAATCAATCCAAACGCAAAAACAACGCAACGCTATTAATAGATTCAATGCTTTTCAAGTAAAAGTGTTAAACGTTGAATTTACCATCGGACAACAGATACATGCATAATAAAATTGCTCGAGTCAGTAGACAGGAAATCCTAAAGGCTGGAAGGATGTTTCAATAAACTAAAACTCTCTTACACGTATTTAACGGACGGATGTGTGGCTTGCGTTCGATACATATTTTAGATAATTTACGATTTCTCTTCGTTATGAATTATGGATACATGTTTTGTCTTTATACTGAATAAAGGGGGTCGGACCATCGACGTCTCTCAAGGTAACATCATCAAAGGGCGTTCATGTTCTCAGTATCATATTGCATACTATGCATATATTGCTTTTTTTATCAAATATATGCGACTTTGCTCTTTATCTATTTTTTCTATTTTACTAATAAATGCTGTTTTATGACTCATATTACAACTCAGCAAACTATTTATGAGCATAACGCTTAATGAGTTTATTCAACGAGACATAACTTTCTGATCATTTATTAAATGGTGTGGGTTTTGTATTTCTGCTGTGGCAACGTGTTGATACACATATTCAAATTAAAACCTTGAACCTTGATAAGATTAGGTAAATAAAACATAACATGCAAAATACAAAAATCATTTTTCATAATTGATATGTAGATATCAACTTGAAATGAGAAGATTTAGATATTGGCTTTGCTGGCTATACATGCAGATTTCAACTTCAATATTTCGAAGTGTTAATATGATAACGAGACGGTTAATTGGAATTTATTGACATATCTCGTCTTGACTATCGTTTTTCATTTAATCAACAAGAAATATTTATCAAATCACAGTCTGAGTTGGTATTACAATAATATAAATTATTCCACAGTTGTTGTTATGTGTATATTTGAGGCTGTATATCATTTGCTAAATGCAGTTGTCACATCATTTGCATATTATAGTAATGGGCATATCCGGTATAACAAATCTTACTATAATGCAAGGATCGTTCTATCTGCTGCAATTGTACTTTATATATACGCATGCTATTTATCTGTTTGAACTACTAACAGAATTACACAATTTTATCGTATTTCGTAAGATATGTTAACATAAGATATAATTTGAAATACTTGTGTTTGTAATTCAGTGTTTTTTTTTGTATTTTCATTGTGGTTTGACAATCTATTACATAATTATGTTGATTTTATTTTCCTGTTGCCTTCATTTATATGCGGAATAAACCCTATTCACCTATCTGTCTGTGCAAATTATACATCTTAAGCTGGATATTAGTTTACCTTATAAATATATCAATACAGTTTCACGGATATATCAACACAATACAATGTTTAAATATTAAACACGCTCTAATACAATTACTATCAGGGTGGTGTTTTTTTTTTCAATTACCTTTACTATATTTTAAACAAAGTGTCATTATCGTTCACGACATTACTTTTTCTTTTCATTGTACTTGCATAGGAATGGATAAATGTCCAGAATCTGCTGAGGAAGACGGGTGCAGGCAGTGTTATTTCTCGAGTGAAGAAGTTTGACGCCCTTTCGGTTCCACTGAAGACGGCTAAAAGGGTCCTTGCTATACTAGACCCATATGACAGATTTGAGGTCACTGACGCCAGTGCTGGAGCAGGAACATTCTTTATCTGGGTAAGGATGACACATAGTGATGCTTGAAGCCTATTTATCTAAAGTAACATACATAATAAGACAGTGCTTCATTTGTAGACCATGACCGACTCTATCTTAGTTCGGAGTGGATAGAATGAGGCAGTATAGAAACAGACATCTTTTTTTGTCTGGCTAATCATTAAATATAGCGAGACATTGATGAGGTGTGCTTCATTTTCTATCCAACTGGGTAGATATTGATAAGAATGGGAGAGTGCTGGGAAGGAAACTTCTCTTCCTGGTCAAGGATCACAAAATAATTGTCCTTCTGTATATTAGTGCGGTTGAGATATGATGATGCAATGCAGGAGCAGTCATCTTCTTTACTGGGATCATGATAGAACATACGCCTTCCCGGAGATATGAGTGAGGTTAGGGTAAAACGATGGCGTGCAAAAGCAGTCACATTATTTATCTGGACAAGAACTGGGTATTGCCAGACAGTGATAGATTCTACTCCTTATCTATATCAGTAACGATTACTAGAATAAGGAAGTGGAGGAGCAATACACTTCTTTATCTGGTTAACAATTTAGTATAACGAAGTTTTGATATGACAGCGCCTCCATCACCTGGTTAAGGTAATGAGAGGTAGATATAGAAAAATGATGTCAACATCGGTTATGCTCTGTACGTAGAAGCAGAACAATCGTTCCAGTTCGAATAGTTAACAAGAAAACACATTACCATTTAAACTTATATTCATACTTGATCGTTGACATTAAATCACCTCATCTGTTAATAGGATGCCCAACCCAATAAAACAAAACAAAACATTTGTCTGTAAGCTGTTTGGGAATAATTCAATCAAAACGGTAATTGATCATATTGGTACGCATCAAGATGTGCATCAAAATACAGGACCGTGTAGTAATGCTATTGGTATTTAATGATAACTGTATCTTTCGTCTGAATATCAAACTTTTTTTTTTTTTTTTTAAATTGTATAATAAAAATGGTTGTTGTGAAATATCATACTTATATCTCTCATCTACAATATTGTCTGTGTTGATTGTAGGGGATGCGTTAATTAGTCGTTTCTTTGTTATATTTCCAGGCCAGTAACATTGCCAATGACGTGGTTTCCATGCATACCTGATTAGGCTACATGTGACGGATATCGATTCATTCCATTTTGTTCCCAAATCCCATTGGCTTAGTAGTCGCCATCATTCGTTCAAAATACTTTAAACATTTTGGATTGAATTTATTTACTTTGAATATCAGTAGTATTCAGTTAGTGCTTATTATTGTTTACATTGCCAAAAGTGATTTCCATATCCATGTGTTCATTTCATCTCATTTCTCTGATTTACATGTATAAAAGACGCATGTTGAGAAATGGATATTTCATAAATATAAACAAATGTAAAGTCTGGATCATTTCGAACTGTCATAAGCATCAAATGCAATACATATATACAAGTATTTGATGTATTCATATGTATATAGTTCATTTGGGAATTATCTACACCCTCTTGACATAAATAAATACTACGTTCATCTCCAGAACTGCAATTATTTCTGACATACATCAATTCTCCTCTCAAAAATAGACCTCCACACAAAGAAAAATATCGTTAATCATCCGTTTTAACAATATCTATTGTGATACAAACCGTATAATGTTAAAAGGACTGTTTGAAGCTTTAATGAACCGCTAATCATTCATTAGCGTTAATGAACGTTTGAGCAACGTCATAAAATTCCTAATGACGTCATGCTATTTAATGATTTAATGAAGGTTTAATGAAGGTTTAATCCATCATTAACTTTTAATGAACGTTCGAGCAACCGGTCCTGGTCTACATATTGTCAGCATAAGTTTTAAGTCGATTATAATTATGACAAATAAACACTCAATACAAAATAGAAATATGAACATGTAGTTGTATGTCCCCGATTTTTTATACACTGCTTTACTGTATCGAGATATACAACACTTGCTTTTAGCAAGACTAGTACTATAGGCTTTATACGTTACTCCTTCCTAAACTTTTGAATGTACGTACTTTTAGGTCTGACTAGTTTGAGTATCCAATCCAAAACAGAACACAGAGGGCGAACAGGTTTTTGCATAGGGTGGAAATATATCAAGTGAGTTTACACACAAGTGTCCTCGTTTTTTTGTTGTTGCCATAAGCTTGAGTTTCTCTTTTGTCCTCAAATATAAGTTTTATTACCACATAGAAATGAAAAAGAAAGTGGGAAAGGGAAACAAATAAATTTGAGTTAGCTCCCTTGATGTGTCTATATACACTATCAAGCCGCCTTAATCCAGTATGTGTGATGTCGACAATATTGAAGTTTTCTGTTCAAAATTGACGCAGTAATACATTTTCACTTATCAGTTTAATGTAATTTAATGGTATTTTTTTTAAACAGCTGTCAGTAAGAAGGTTTGGAAAATATTATTCTTATTTCAAGGTCTATATAAAAAACCCGTCTATGTTTCTTCTGAAAACTAATATTTTGCAGGATTTCTGAATTTATATATTAACAAAAAAGTCCAGAATAATATTTATTCGTTATCCAAATAGTAGATCAACATAGACTTAAAATGAAAACGACATATCATAGAAGACAGATGCGCATCCCATGTACACTTTGCAACTATATGTATGTATGTGGTTAATTGCTTAAAAACATACTTCAGTTGTTGGCATTCATATGCATATATCTTTCTTGAGCATTTCTGGTATGGTACAAAGTGATATCCTTTCATTATTAATCATCATTAAGTTCCAATCAAAAAGCAAATATCTTGTATACTTGTAGTAGTGAACCTTCTGGTTCACTACAACACATTGTGCCCGTCTTAACGTCATGATGATAATAAATCATTGTCATGTCATTTATTATTGTTATGAATGTCAAATACATTTATTGATATTTTGAACAATATGGTTTCTGTTTTAATTATTATCATTGATATGAGTTACTGATATTGTTTATGGAACTTGTTTCAGAGATGGATCAATAAATATTCAATAAAACTGACTATATGATTTTAAATCTTGTGTAGAACGTCATTATCACCTTTCAACATTTTAACAATCAATAAAATGAGAAAGGGAATATAATAAAAAAAAACATCATTTGTTTCTGGCTTAAAGTGTTATTCATTCGACTAAGAAAGGAAACAAGCACACAAAGGCATCAAGACACAAGGACAAATTAGAAAAAATCAAAATCGATACAAAAAATAAAGAAGAGGATCTAGGAAGATATCCAAACATACGGAAAACACAATGAAAAAAAAGTCGAAACTTGATGCACCAGTGGAGGATGCCAAAACGATATCCCATTAAGTCTGAGAAAAAGTATAACGGTCACAAACAATTTTAGGCTAGGAAACAAATTGTACCAGATATCGTTATCGTATAACTAGAAATTAGGTAAGGGTGACGACTGTTCCTTTATAGAATATCAAAACCTATCGGGTAGGTACGATCGGCAAGGCAGGTCATACACATATAAAAACAGGTACTAATTGTAATGGGGGACCATTACAGATGTCCCCCAAACTGCCCCCATAGTCGCAAAGATGCATCAGAAAAGGATCGCATTGCCATAGTAAACCTACAATGTACATACTGTACTAAATTTCAGTGAAATTGAGCAATTTCTAAATTGCAACCAATCAGAAGCCTCTGTGTTGTTGCTATGGCAAAGAATCCTATGCGGTTGAATTCACAGTCCCCTACTATCCATATATACAAATTTTGATCAAAATCGAACAATATCTTAACTTCGACCAATCAGAAGCCTCCGTGTGGCTGCTTTGGCAACAAAATTAATGCGGATGAATTCGCAGTCCCCTAATAGCCCTATATACATGTACAAACTTTCAGCAAAATCGAACAATATCTAAATTTCGACCAATCAGAGGCCGTGGCGGCCATCCTTGTTGACCGATCGGTGAAAGGTCATTTGCACACACCCTGACCATGATGAACACTTCTGTAAAGTTTCATTTAGTTCCATCCAATAGTTTTTGAGAACAGTACCGGAAACTTTTACGGCGGACCCGAGAATAATAATAATAACCAGAATTGCAATTGCGAGCAATAGAGGAAGTCCTCCCCCCCCCCCCCCCCCCCCCCTGCTAATTATACAGCCATTTTCTTTTTTACACAAAACGAACACCGCAGTTGTGTTCGTAGTGACATACTACACCTACATACGAAATGTAATCAAAATTGGAAGATATTTAAATTACGACCAATCAGAAGCCTGCATTTGGCCGCCATTTTGAATTACATTTCGAAACTCAGATTACGAAAGGGACCGGTGTCCCATGTTATACCTAAATACCAAATTTCATGAATATCAGACAATATTTAAATCTAATTTTTTTCACAAAACGAACATCTCAGTTATGTTTGTAGTGCCATACTTCACATTCATACCAAATTTCATCACAATTGGACGATATTCAAATTTCGACCAATGAGAGGCCAGGAAATGGCAGCCATTTTGTCGAAATGTGAAACTAAGGCTAAGAAAGTGACCGGTGTCCGATGATATACCTACATACTAAATTTCATGAAAATCAGACAATATTGAAATTTTGACCAATCAGAGGCCAGGAAATGACAGCCATTTTGCTTTTTTACAAAACAAATACCGCAGTTATGGTGGCAGAGTACAGTAGAAATGGCTTGACCCTAAAAATAAATGGCATGTCTCGGATAAACATGGATAGCGGATTCATCCTGCACATATATATTTATAAACGACATTTCGAATAGGTGTTTTTTAGAAGAACCTTTTTTTTTCAAAAAGTTATTTCCCCAGATTTGGGACTTCTGAAAACCATGGTTACCACATCAAAAAACACCAAAATATGTAAAAAATCATGGTTTTTAACCCAGAATTTGACCCCCGCAAGTAGAATTGTTTTTCTTAAAACCTGTCTGAAAATAAATATCGCCTACTCGGTAACAGAAATACTCACGTTTTAGCATAGGTCATTCCGGTGGATTTTTCACAATATTTACACATGTGCTGAGTACAAAAATAGACTACATGAAAAGCTAGTTTTTGTTGTGTAGACACAGATTTGTAAATGCCCAAAATTGTAGTCTCAAACCGAATTCAATTTATTTTTTTGAAAAATTATGAAGCCCACATAGTCCACTTCATCATGTATATGCCAATTTTAGTGCTGATTTGTTTTTAAAAAAATTGATACATGTTATATTACAGGGGTTATTCATTGTATAAAAATATCACCCATGGCCACCGTACGCTACTGTACTCTGCTACCTATGTTCGTAGTGCCATACTACACGTACATACCAAATTTCAACGAAATTGGACGAAATTTAAATTTCGACCAATCAGAAGCCAGCATTTGGCCGCCATTTTGAATCCAAAGTGAAATATTTTTTGTCGAAATATTTTTTGTGGAAGAATAATAATAATAAGTAAGAAACGGACCAATCACAATAAGTCGCCCCGACTTCGTCTGGGGTGAATTCATAATAATAAGTAAGAAACGGAAAACAACAGTAAGTCACCCAACCTCGTTCGGAGTGACTTAATAATAAGAAACGGAGCACAAAAACAATATGTCCCCAAACTTTGTTTGAGGGACATAAAAAAATTCTCTTAAGGCTTTAAGAAAGAGAATCAAATGAAGCTGCTATATCACTCAGGGGGGAAAAGGAAAACAAGATTTGTTTTGGTAATTTAATTCGTTGAGTTTGTCAGAGATACGGCCAGCGAGAGCTTATTCATAACCATATGTGTTAAGGAGTATATTTAATGCAATTGTGTCCGACATTCTGGAGAAAAATAATCAATCATGCAAGTATTTTATCTGCAATCTTTAATAGCGCTGGAAATATTTGATACAAAGACACGTGTACAAAATAAATCTCCTTTGAGTTACCGAATATACATTTTAATTATTCTTTGATGTTCCAAATGATCGAAAAATTGATATCTGGTTTTAAATTTTTAGACTTTAGAGAGTAGTGATAGGTAGTAAGAAGAATTATTAATAATTTTGAAAATACACAACGTTTTGTGTTGGAAGTGTACATGATGTTGTACGCTTGCAAATATATTGTTTTAAAACGTTTTTAGTGGATATGTCTTATCACCATCAAGGAAGTTTGATTTCCAGTTTTAAAAGCACGATCATGTAGGAATTGTTTGGGTTTTCATTTTCTTGATCAGGTAAGATATTTGAGTCTGTATCATAGGTCAAGTTTATTAAACAAAATCAGACAGAGCATCATGAAACTCTTTTTAGAACAAGAAAGAAAATGTTAAGTTAAATAACACAAGCAACTGCAACGTTCGTTTACATTTCAAACCATTACTTGTATATGTAATGTTTCCTATATGTGTGCAGTGGTAGGAAATGTTTGATCTTTTACATGTGAATTTTCAGAATTAATTATATTGGGTAATGTACAGGTGTTCATTTCGTTAATTGCCTTATAACAACAGAACACGTAATTTTCGGTTATCAAATCAGAATGATGGAACACATAGTTTTTGAGGTACTGTAATAATGTACCAAAGGACATTCTCGGGTGTGGAAATATTCGCGTTGTAACTCTTGAAACTGATCGCGGCGTGGAACCTTTTGTGTAATCATAGGTACTGTGGTATATTTATACATGTACTACATAATTATCTATAATCATTAAATATTTATTTGCTTCGAGGTAATTTACTCAACGCCAAAAACACAAATATTTCGAAACTGCAAAAACTTTTTCAGTATGCTGTCGAATAGATATTAGAAATAAAGGTAAAGACGCACGTGAACTAGAAAAAATGACTGAATGACCACATGCTACGACACTGCTTGTTTGGTTAATTGTTCCGACAAGTTCGTCGGGATTATATAGAAGAAAGAAAAGTTAACTTATGAGAATATACCTATACTATTTATGCTAATGATTGAAAGTGGTCATTTAAAATTATTGGTGACACACTTGTCCTCACAATAAGCCCTATTATATAGGTAAATTAGCCATAGAGCTAATCTTCTGAGCACTTTCTATACGGGAATTATCACCAAGCGTGGCAGGAATAACCCGGCTTAAGATCAAAACACACTGTTAAAACATAGCATATATATATAGACATTGTGTATATAAAACAAAGATCTGATCTATAAAACTTAAATAGATAACCCATATACACAAGATACTCAAAGAATATAAACACTTTGATAACACTTTGTATATTAAATCAGTATTGGGTAAAGTTTCATTGGTATAACCCTGGAATGAATTAACGATCAACCGCAGTACTATCCGGCCGTACAAGGGTCTCGACCTGACCCAGTGTGTGCTAGCTGACCCGACATGGTGTACTGACAATCTGTTTGTATCCAATGTGGGTTATAACTATCTTCTTCGACGTCCACATGTGTAATTCGAGAGGGTACATACGTCCACATGTGTAATTCGAGAGGGTACATACGTCCACATGTGTAATTCGAGAGGGTACATACTAGCACAATGCTGGTAACAGAGGATCGCCTTTATCGGGTAGTGGTAACTACATTTCGGACATACTGGTTCAATCAGCAATAAAAATGGAGACGTCTGGGCCAGTTATAAGTGACAAGGTATGTTTATGCTTTTTAATATATATGTTTAGGGTCGAAAAATATTATTTTATATATAAACCAACATATTATAAACATCAAACAAGCACAATAACAAAAGATCGAAGAAACCAGTATACATGTAGTTAATCTGTATAATTAAGTAAACTGCGGGTTGATATCCTATAATCTATTAACATGTGTAGAATTATAATAATGCTTTATTTAATATTCACGCTGATACATACCTATACATGACCACTGCCATGCAAGTACTTTATTACGCTATTCGACCAAAGAAATACTTAAAACAAGAGCAGGAAAAAGTAAATGCATTTCTATCATTTCCTGTTATATATTGAAAAAAGTTATATATACTTTATGGTTATCAATTTTTATAAGCTTGTCAGCTTCAAGGTTATGCTTGTTTATGTTGCCTTCATGTTTTCTTCGTGTGTTTAAAAAGGCAATTGTTGGTCTTATATTAATATCCGTTGTTTATAACAAGTCATTGTTCGTCGTATATGAAGTTCCGTTGTGTTTTATAGGTAATTGATCTGTACTATCACAATGGGAGGTAGTCCATCAAAGAGTTCATATCGAACACAACCGGGGGGATGGCTGACTACGAGGACTCCTGCAGAAACGCAGGAGCCGCCCACAGAGACTCAGGGCACACAGGAAACAGCGGCACTGCCTCCTAGGAATGCCGGGAGTAAAGATGGCGTACGTATGACATTACACATCTCGGGCGAATGCCGAGAGTTATGATATAATACCTATCATTGTGTATGTATAATTGTATATTATCCTGTTCCTGCATTTTTTTTAAGAATGTATACTAATATTTAACTTTTGTTGTAAATAAATTACTGCTTTCAATAGTTTTAAAGCAACACAAATCACTGTATACAACTTCACTACTGGAGAACAAATGGTAAACTGAAATGTTCGCATCCCCTAACACCGACCCCCAACATACATATATATATTTAAATGAAGACATTTTTTTCTGATTGATTATATAATGATTATATAATGATTTGCTTTCCTGATTATAGAAACGTTCGTTGTATACCATGGAGCCTGGCTATCCAACACCAGTGCCACCTCCGAACAATCTCGTTGGTATCCTGAGTGTTACGGATGTCACAGTTCCGAACTCCCTCGCAAAAGAGGTATTAAACATACATTGTCGTTTGCATGAGACACTTGAGAGCGATTCGATCTTTTTTCAATATGTAAATAAATATAAGATCATCACACTAATCAATGTTAATTTATTGATTGATCGTTTATTATTGCTGAAATTAGAGAATTTTATGTGGAACTAATGTTTAAAGAGCAAGCGTTTTTTTATGAACCCCAAAAAGCGAAAATGTAGATGTTCTTCTTTTAGTGCCTCTCCCGCTGTATATAATGCGATAATCTTTTTCAGCGCCAACTATATAAATATATGTGACAAGTGAATACGACTTATAAATCATAGATCTAATTTACCATTGGGCATCACGATTTTGCACTAATATATCAAATGCACTGCGAGACACAGTATGTCTGTGTTAATATGTGCTCAATACATCGTTCACCTTATGATACACCAGGAACAGTACTCAGATTGTCCTATTTCATTAAATAGTTTATATAATAGAAATGTAAGTCAGTCACACTGGGTGTCTGATCTTACAAACGGCATTTTCGTAAACACGAACTAATCGCTGGTCATTTCCGTTTTTGATTTAAACATATTTTATTGCAAATAACAGATGGTGCAAACGAAATGGACACAAGTTTTGCCAACTTATTGAAGTCCTCTTCGACAAAAATAAATTGATTACAATGTTAGAGCTACTTAAATATACATATGAGTCATTTCCGTTATTGCAGATAACTGCAGACTCTTGTAACACCATGGAAGAATTGGTAGAGGAATTAACCGGTGATTTTAATATGGATATCCTCAAAGTAAGGGCCATTTTTATGTGGGTTGGGACACAGCCCTTCACCGTCCAACAGTACCCCGACGACGCCGACCCCGAGTCACCAACTGGATACCTGCGACGGATGGCCATGGGCAAAATGTCATATGCCGAGATATTCACGATCATGTGTCGGTAAGTATAAAGACAACTACAGTGAGTTCAGTTTGTGCTTAATCACCTTGTAGTTTTGTTAAAAGATCTATTCTTTTATAATTGTTTAAAAATAACCAATATTATGTTCATATACTTAGTGAGAAACATTTGTCTCCCCTATCGCATTATACGTACAGCATGTTTAAGATTTAATATTTAACGAATAACCTCTTACAATGTACAATTATATTAATTATTTTTCTGTTTATCCTCATTATGATGACACATTGTGTTTTGTTTAATTGGGTCTCCACTGTGATTCTGTATTTTACATACGTGTAATGGTTATTGATAAATATATGTATATTAATATCAATTTCCGTTCTAAAGATTGTGAAATTATCATGTAACGATTATGTACCGTTCAGACTGGCTAAGGTGCCGTGTGTAATGATACCCGGGGTAGCAAAGTCCTCTGCGTATGAGGTGGGCGACGAAAATGTAGACAAACTAAGGAATGTGTGGAATGCAGTATATGTGGCGGGAGGTTGGAGGATCATTTTCCTGCTATGGGCCTTCCGATCCATTGCCGGCAAGAGCACAGGAGTCGTACCCATCGCTGATCCGACAAGTACGAATACATATTTATTAAATGCGAAAATTCCATCTCTCTTTGTGAACTGTGAACCGTTATATTTGTTTGTTTGTTTGATTTTGTTTAACGTCCTATTAACAGCTAAGGTCATTTAAGGACGGCCTCCCCTGTGTGCAAGATGCATGCGTGTAGTGTATGTGTGTGTATTTTGGGAGGCTGCGATATGTTCGTGTTTGTCTCCTTGTGATAGCGCGGAACTGATGCCGACTTTATAGTGCTACCTCACTGAGACATACTGCCGAAGACACCCAGCAGGACGCCCCACCCGGTCACATTATACTGACAACGGGCGAACCAGTCGTCCCACTCCTTATTTGCTGAGCGTTAAGCAGGAGTAGAAACTATCATTTTTAAAGACTTTGGTATGTCTCGGCCAGGGGACCGTTATATTTTCACTTTGCTATTTGTTTGGCCTAGCGTGTGTCAAAATATTATTTTTTTCTGTTCCGAATTCACCTACCTTCCCGTTTCAGATTTATTTACTCCACATATGTATTTGAAACGAAAATAAATTCAATCAGTAGCATATGCATGGACTGAACATTTTCCTTCGTACGACAATTCGATGCTATTAATTTGTCTACTGCCATACTTTCCATCAAGTACTTTTAATATTAAGCTATGGATATTATGTGATCATGTGGTTCCTCAATTATTGATTATTTGAATGCTGGATCCAATTTTTTTTCTTTACGTTTGGGTTTCAACGTAAACCTTAATAACCTAATGTGAACACCGAATTTCTTCGTGGGTTAGTTCTCCTAACAGGGTACATACTATTCGGAGTTCACTTTATATTTCTGTTTGCAGGCGAAGATTACAAGAACCAGGAAAAGATGCTAAAGGAAAAGATAATATCTACTGTGAAAGAATATTACTTCCTCACCAGTCCTGAGGAATTCGTGTATAGGTGTTTACCTGATGAGGAAAAATGGCAGATGTCTTATAAAAAATTCAATAAGGCAAAATTTATAAAAATTCCGTATCTACGTCCAAAGTTCTTTGAGCTTAACCTGCAGTTATCGAGTGCCCCCGAGGGTATTCTGACGACAGACAATGGCGTGAGTGAGGTGATGATTAAGCATGGTGCTGGGCCCGTGGCTTTGGTACACGACCTTCTATACAACGAAAGTCAATCTAAACAGAAACTGCCTCCAGGTGTTCAGTTACCCCGATACTGCGTTATCATAAATGACGGCGACAAAGTACGCTTTAGCATGCGTTTTCCTTTCGCTGGCGTATACAAACTACAGGTTCTAGATGCGGAGTTCGAATGGCTTTGCTCCTTCAAAATCATATGTAAAACTGCAAAACAGCTCTGCGAGCCTTTCCCTGAAGTGTCTAATATCGGATTTGGGCCATGTCGGGCGACACTTGACGCCAAACTCACGGCCGAATCCCACAATGAGGGTGTGATTAAGGTGATAGAAAAGAAGGAAATTGAGATGATGTTCTCTGTTCCCCAGACCGTATCTGTGAAGGCAGTGTTGAATAGTGCTAAAATACCGGGAAAAGCTCTAAAAGATTGTGTTAAACAGCGGGTACAGTTTGACAGTCTGACAATCAAAGTGACTGTACCTCACAGAGGCGATTTCTGTCTTAAATTACTGACTAAGGGCAAAAATCCCTCAGACAAATACCGGGTGGTCTGTAATTACTTACTTACTACAGACGAGTTTAACTCGAAGAAAAAACCGAGAACGTACGAGGTGAGTGGACATGTTTGTGTGTTGATGGTTTTACTGTGTACGTCCACCTCGTGACACCTAAGGTGATGTGAAGACAGCAGTCGGTATGTATAGCTTGATGTGATTTTTAATTATATGTATAATTACAAAGGAAGCCACACAAGTACATAAATTGATCTATGTACATTTACTTGCCTAACGCTTTAATATAGCTTTACAAATGTAATAAGGTAACGTTTGAATGTGTTTATATAGATTATATTTCTGATACATTAGGAAAAATCATTCAAACGGACAACACAATTCAGTTTTGGATGTAATGATGTCACAATCCAGCAAGGTAAGGGTTGGTCAGTTGTAATCAATGTTCAATTAGTTTAAGAAACATGGTTTCATTTCAATATTGTAGCGTAACATGTTTATGATGAATTGTATCCTGTTATCCAATATTATTGAAACTTCATATGTTTTTTAATTTACTGATTGAGTTCGTTTTGTTTTTTCTATATTTGACGTTTTTGTTTTCATGACATACGTCTTGCATACACTTGTTTATGTTCAGAACGCCGAAGAGAAGAACGCACGTACACGTCTATTCAACGCACTGATAAAGGGGGATAACCCCGCCGAACTTCAGGAAGCAATAGACAAATTCAACGTGTTAAACCTGCCTGACGACGGAGAGGTAGCGAAGGCTAAAACCCAGGTGTGCTACCTTAAAACAATGAAAGGTGAGTACAAATGACAAAGGTATGCTACCTGAAAGCGACGAACAATTTTTGTCAGAAATAGCATGGTGCTACATGGTGTCAATAATGTATGAACAATGTTCTTCGCATTTGTCTCCTATTTATGACAGGGTATGTCTTTTAAGCAGCGTTTATCATTTACTTGATATGCTAAAATGGCAAGGGAAACGTTTGCTTGTACATTACAGATTTTAAAGAAGGTCTAAGTCGACGAAACCTTCCCATATTAGAAAAGGCTATGGAAAACTCCAAAACCCTGCCTAAAACGGATGAGATAAAACCTTTAATACGTCAGTCCTCAAAGATGGTCAGGAACCTGAGAACTCTGAAGAAGCACTCTCATGATGTACTTGCATTGAGTTCCAGAACAATATCAGAACTTCATCGGTACAAGGAACCCGTGCCTATTATGGTGGACATTATGCGCGCCACCTACCTACTTCTGGGCGAAAATGAGTCTACAGTGGCAGTCAGTATATTGATGATATGTCCAAATACAACAATAAAAAGGAAACCTTCTATGACATTCAAACATGTTGTAACTCTTAAATATATTTAATTATGGAAATTTAATTATTAATCTCAATTTGGTATAATTAATATATGTTTAATAGAAATTACGTAAATAATTTCTTGCTGCAATTTTTAAACACACAGAATTAATGAACCGCATATCAGTCCTTAATGACTTGCACTGCATAGCACACAGCAAAATTACACAAAGTTATAGTTTGATTGCCCTTGGACTACAGGTGCTGTTGAACAGGCTTGTATAATGTTAGGTTTTAGGTATGGTTCATGGTAGTTTTTCATGATTTCATAATGATATTTAAATCGTCCGTAATTAACGTTTGTACGCAATTAAAGGAAACATCATAAACGTTTTATTGTAGGAGTGGGAAGACCTCCAGACGTTAATGAGGAAGACAGGTCGTGATAGTCTAAGTGTTAGAATTCGTCTTTTTGATGTAACAAAACTGAAAGTTCCATTGGCCAAGAAAGTGCTCGGGATCCTCAGTCAGTACGACAAAGAAACAGCTCTCGGGGCCAGCGCCGGCGCAGGCACCTTCTATCAGTGGGTAAGGCAAAACAAAGGGGAGACAACTCCTTAAGAGTTACTGCAATCAGCATAGGCGTTGTTTACATGCAATTAAGCTTACATTTCTTTACCGAACAATTTCATACCTATATACAAAATTTGCAAGAAAAAGGACAATGCATTTCATTTTATGTAGAACAGGGAACATATTGAAATTATTTGATATATTATTTCGTAATATCTCATTTCAAAGTTAATACATGTTATTCGTTCATATTTTGCGTGAATCTAGTCGTTTGTAGCTCATAACTTTTGTGAAATAATCCCTATGTATATATGACTTTCAAGCGTTTGACTTAACAGTAAGTATAATATATTAGCACAGTTGTGTTATTTACTGAAGTGTATTCGTTTTAATAAGCTTTACTATTTGATTTTTTTAGGCAAGTGGCGTAGCCCAGGATGTGATATCCGAAGAATCCACTACACAGACAGATAATTCATCCACCCCTTTGGACAGCCCTGACACTCCACAAGGCAAACAACGTGACACACCACATGATACACCACGTTTCACACCTATTGACACATCACGTGACCAAAAACAAAATACTGAGGAGAACGGAGTACCAATAACTACCAGGAGCGATTCAGTTTCACCGTGTCTTAGCTTGATAGCTACATAGGTGTCTATCATTTATATATGATAATTTAATGTAAAAAAAAATATCGATTTGACATATTTCTGAGTCTATTTTGCCATTTCTGCCGTTTCAAATATTCAAATGCTATTGAAAATTATCAATATTCCTAAATAAGGAAAACATTCTTAAAAACTAATTACACGCTGTGGTAACATTTTTTTGCATGAAGAGTAATGAAGTAACAACGTCGATCTTATAGTTCCCTATTGTAATTGTATTCGTCCCGACTGTCAAAGTTTCTAATCCGTAATATAGTATTAATTATCACACGGGAAACTGTGCACTGCCTCTAAATAATAGTTGTGTTTTTGTTTTGTTTCTGTTTTTATGTTGTTGAATGTTTGTAAGGGCTAGTACAGTAAGGAGATAAAAAACACATTTTCAATCCTTAAATACAGGTAACAGTATAAGATGTACTGATGATGACTTATCCCTGAAAAACATAATTTTACGAACATATTTACTCCGTTTTATGTTCGATCTGTACATTGTCCCCTTCATCAGACACATGACCAGTGAAGCGTATGTACACAAGGGTGTAAAATGTGTACGAGTTGTCAATTTTGTGGACAACTCGTACACATTTTACACCTTTGTGTGCATACGCTTCACTAATCATTTGTCTGATGAAGGTGATAGTTAACATACCGTATTAGTCATCTAATCGTCACATAGAATATCTTATTGGTTGTGTAAAAAGGACTTCATAACCCATACTTAGAAAATGTTTAGAAATATTTACTCCGCTGACTAGACAAATGTGTATTAAATAATATACAAATCCTTTGTGACGAAGGCAGAGAAATCTCATTACGAGGTGGGGTATTTTAAGTAAAGCGCAAGGCTTTACTGAGTAATAACTTAACAAATATATCTCGAGGTTTTTTTGGCGTCACACAGGAGTGTTAGGTTATTTTCTCTTCAATTTTCTATCGTAAAAAATAATATTAAATAGTTTACCCAGTGCATCGCGCTATGATCAAGGGCGCATGAAATGTGTTACAAAATCGATTACTCTACATAAAGTGATGACGCGATGAATACGTTGTCAGAATAAAACCACTAGGACTAAAGACAGTTGATATTTCCATTAGCAAAAACGATATTTCAACCGGATGTTATCAAGAATCCATTTGTCTTTCTTTAACAACTAGTTTCGAAGCAGCTTTTTGTGAGAATCTTTGCTGTCTTCTTTTTTGTTTTGGTGTTGCCTCAGTTTTTACTTTTTTTCCCTCGACCATCAAGGATTTTGTCATTGAAATAAAACGCTATGGTTTTGTTTGTTTGTTTTTACATACAAATGTTTCCTTAGAATTTTCAATCAATCTGACACAACGTTACAAGCGAAAACAGATATTGTATATCTAGGGACTCGGAATTTTTTTAACAGATCAACAGATACAATAAGTATAACATAATTGGCAATTGAAGGTGTAGTGCTTTAGTCCATGTATAAGAAACTATTTTGTCTTGTAATTTTATATACTTGACTGATGGCGTCTTTAGGAGATGTTGAATGTTATTTATGATAGTTTATGATACAACGCGGTAACTACTACAGGTAGGTACCATCAATAAATCGTTGTATGCCGGTGCAACATGTTATCGGCCTCGTTTGTTGGTGCGCTAAGCCATGATATTAGGCCTATTATTGATTTTCACCCACAATATTAATGCTATTTAAGGAGTTTAATATACACGAGTATACCCGAAAACTGAATATACATCCACATGTAAATTTATGATAAAGACCTCCAGGTATTCGTCTTAAAAGTACCCACCTAAAAGAGACAAATTAAAATACCCTTCTCGATGTACTCGTCTTACGTACTTACCTAAAGTGACCCACCTAAAAACGTACCCTGCTAAAAGTACCCACTGTACCCATCTAAGTGTACCTACATAAACGTACCGTCCGTAACATAACCTACCAAACGTACCCTGCTAAAAGTACCCACTCATAAGTGCCCGTCTGAAAGTACCGATCTAAGTGTACCTACATAAACGTACCGTCAATAACAAAACCTACAAAACGTACCCTGCTAAAATTACCCACTCAAAAGTGCCCGTCTGAAAGTACCCATCTAAGTGTACCTACATAAACGTACCGTCCTTAACAAAACCTACAAAACGTACCCTGCTAAAAGTACCCACTCAAAAGTGCCCGTCTGAAAGTACCAACCTAAGTGTACCTACTTAAACGTACCGTCCTTAACATAACCTACAAAACGTACCCTGCTAAAAGTACCCACTCATAAGTGCCCGTCTGAAAGTACCGATCTAAGTGTACCTACATAAACGTACCGTCCGTAACATAACCTACCAAACGTACCCTGCTAAAAGTACCCACTCATAAGTGCCCGTCTGAAAGTATCAATCTAAGTGTACCTACATAAACGTACCGTCCTTAACATAACCTACCAAACGAACCCTGCTAAAAGTACCCACTCAAAAGTGACCGTCTGAAAGTACCCATCTAAGTGTATCTACATAAACGTACCGTCTGTAACATAACCTACCAAACGTACCCTGCTAAAAGTCCCCACTCAAAAGTGCCCGTCTGAAAGTACCCACCTAAGTGTACCTACATAAACGTACCGCCCTTAACATAACCTACCAAACATACCCTGCTAAAAGTACCCACTCACAAGTGCCCGTCTGAAAGTACCGATCTAAGTGTACCTACATAAACGTACCGTCCTTAACATAACCTACCAAACGTACCCTGCTAAAAGTACCCACTCATAAGCGCCCGTCTAAAAGTATCAATCTAAGTGTACCTACATAAACGTACCGTCCGTAACATAACCTACAAAACGTACCCTGCTAAAAGTACCCACTCATAAGTGCCCGTCTGAAAGTACCCATCTAAGTGTACCTACATAAACGTACCGTCCGTAACATAACCTACAAAACGTACCCTGCGAAAAGTACCCACTCATAAGCGCCCGTCTAAAAGTACCCATCTAAGTGTACCTACATAAACGTACCGTCCGTAACATAACCTACCAAACGTACCCTGCTAAAAGTACCCACTCAAAAGTGCCCGTCTGAAAGTACCCATCTAAGTGTACCTACATAAACGTATTGTCCGTAACATAACCTACAACACGTACCCTGCTAAAAGTACCCACTCATAAGCGCCCGTCTAAAAGTACCCATCTAAGTGTACCTACATAAACGTACCGTCCTTAACATAACCTACAAAACGTACCCTGCTAAAAGTACCCACACAAAAGTGCCCGTCTAAAAGTACCCATCTAAGTGTACCTACATAAACATACAGTCCGTAACATAACCTACCAAACGTACCCTGCTTAAAGTACCCACTCAAAAGTGCCCGTCTGAAAGTACCAATCTAAATGTACCTTCATAAACGTATTAATTTTAAGTATCAACATAAATGTGACAAGTATTGCGATTTATAAACATACCCACCAATACTTCTTGTGTTTGATATACCTCCTACCTTCACGTGTCAAGATACATTTAACGACCTACAAGTATCAAGCAGCAATATCAGTTTTATTAAACACCTACCTTGCACGCCTCTTGTAACCCGGCACCCTGTCTTTGTTGAGATATGTGAGTTTAGTCACGTTTTACTGTTATGTTGATTATATAAATTTCAATTGTTAAGTTGTCTAATGTGATAGGTAGACATTTAAACCTGCCGTTGAAATTCGACATCACTGAAACATGCTTCACGAGTATATTGTCATAGTGTTGTATTCTTCATGAATAATAATAAAATAGAAAATAAACTATGTACTGCTGCTTGTTTTTTTCTCTCAAATATATTCATGGACTATAATAAGTGAAAAAAACACCATTTAAAGCATTTTTGATAACTTCTGGAAAAACTCAAATTTTCATCTATATCTTAAATAATGTCTGTTAAAACCTTTGACGCAGTGTATAACAAAACATATTTTACAAATATTAACCTAAAATATATCATATATCACTCAACTTGTAAACGCTGATATTAACATATAGAAAGTCTAGTGGACTAGAATTGTGTTGTTGAATAGCTAGCAAGATCACCGAGTTACCAGAGACTCATATCAACAACTGGAATGGAAATCTAGACTCTAATTGGTTGCATGGTAGAGTACGTCTGGCAGTGGCCAATTCAAGTTCATGTTAAATTGTATTCAGAATGAGTCACACCTGTTGGATCTGTCTATAAATCTAAGTTGAAAACTAAACAGTACTCAGCTGGAGACTTCCATAAAAATAATGTGTCTTTGTTCACTTCAAAAAGGAAATATAAACAGTCATAAACATCGACATTACAACAGTATATAAATGATGAGGTATCACTAATAAACCAACTGCATTGTATTCGTTTTACTAACATATAGTAACATATTTAGACATTTGTCTAGTTTTCAATATGGCCCTGTAAAATACATAATATATACATATTACATACACAATATGGACGATTCACAACTGACATGTAAACAATGTTATATACCACAGAATTGAACACAAACATTGTAAGATACAAGCTAGTTAATTAAATCTTCATTTATATGACAGATATTTATATTTGTCTATACTGCATTCCAGAAATTCAAAACTGTCCCCGTAAACAACATTTTTTCGCTGGCTTATAGTATCCTTTTATCAGATTATAGTGTATTTCGACACTGTATACTGTTAGTGGAAAAGTTTAAACGTCGAATTTATTGAACTCAAAGAAGGATTTTTTTAATTTTAATTTTCAATTTAGACCACCTTTCATTCAAAAAGGTTTCCTCAAAAGGAATGCATTTGTTCTCCTAAAATGAGAGCTGCATATTCCAAGAAAGGCGTTCAGCGATAGAAATACTGGTTGTACAATACTTTGGGCATAATCTGTGAAAACAAACCAACAAACAAACGAATGAAATATACTAACGATGCAATCTATGAACCGTCCTCTCCTGGTCTACTTGTTTTGTTGTCATATCAGAACAGGCGACATAAACCTTTTCAAAGTTCTTCGTTTTCTTTTCAAACTATATCGACGATGTGCCGTAGTTAACTAACAGGCACGTTCTTGACCACATCGACCGGGTACGCCCTCCTGAACACGAAATCACTTAAAACTATTCTACATAAGTCGCTTTTCTTTATCTTATCTAAAACATGGCCGTGATGGACAGCTTACAACTCAGCATGTCGATTTCAGTTATCCTATATTGAACTTTCTTTTGCTTGATATTCACTTCCTTGCATATTCCACCACCGATGTATAAATGTCGCAGTTGAAATCATTGTTACCGTGATAGATATCGCACACTGAAAGCCATACTTAAGTTCCGTAAGGTTTGGATTGACGAAAACAAAGGACATCTTTTATCCAAAATATTCTATTACTTCTTGTCACTTCTATATATTGACAGTTTTCAGTATGCACATCAATATGCCTTGTGGTCTCGTTGTCAATATCCCTGTTATCTCTTTGAAAACGTTCTATTACTTAAATTTGTTCTAGACTTACATTGCAGTACACCTTACCCTTTCGGACCGCTTTATTTGCTTTGGGTATTTTTTACTTCGTTTGTTATTATTATCCAAAATTCATATCTTTTTAGTCAGAGTGACGGTTTTATACAGAGTTTTTTTCAAATCGACAGAATCAGATTTATTGACGCTGTGGTATTTCTTTACTTATTTTATTTAACTTATTGTCACATGACGCATAATGACGGTGGGGATGCACTTTTCTTAGGCAGTGCTTTAACTGTTTTAATGTTTCGGTCCATATTTTCTTGGGACCAAAAGATATTATTTGATCTGATATATTTACACAGCAAGGGATTAACTTTGGTAAATATCATATATCAAATTTGATAGGTATTTTGACTTTACCTTTTTTTCCGAATTTAAAAATACTCTGCTTCACCTATTTACCTGACCCAAATCGTAAATTGACTTAAATTGCCTAGCTACCGTAGCCAGAGAGTGTGTTATGCACTAATTGATGTACACACGTTGAATTGCTGTTCCAACAAAATTGATCATTTTTCTTCGTTATTATTGATTGGTGGTTACATATTAGATGTGGTGCAGGGCCGAGCTCTGACAAGGAAGGTACAGGTACGTGTTTATGTAAAACCATTAATACACATATTACATTTGCCAGCAAGTTCACTGTGCAATGTTTTGATTACTGATCAGGATATAAGGGATGTTGTGTATTAGTCGAGTTTAAAAGGAAATTGTTAACATGAGAGGAAAGAAACGAGCTATTTGTTAAAGGAGATCAATACATCTTTGTAAATCAGTCACTTTGCAACACAGATCAATAGTTAGAGGTAATCATCTACCTACTACCTCAAGTCTTTAATATATTTACATTATAACAACTCAATATCCTTAGCGATTGATTATATTTGATGTTAACAAATACATTAAATCGGGGTTACATTTTTAGATTAAAAACGTAAAGAATGTTATATAAACTACTCACCTTTTCTTCATCACTTCTGAAAAAAAGAGTATAGTTATATATCTTTAAAACACTGTAATTGCATATTGGTGTTCTGTTTTACTGATTAAAACCTCTATCGCTATAATCGGCAAACTCTAAGTTCCCTACTTCTTCTTCAAGGAACCTGATGCACGGTTTGTAACTGTAAACCACAATTTGCAGAATAACTATTATATATGTTTTATTTTTTTATTTTTTGTAATTCATACTCTACACATAGATAAATCCCCAATAACACTAATTATGGAATGAATTATGTATTGAACCCCATTAAAAAGCCGGTCTAACAAACACCACGTTAACAATATTTTAAAACAAAAAGTTGCATAATGGAAATATGCTATGTTACAACGCTTTCAAAGCTAGAGATAAGTAAATGATCTACGATGATAATGCATTGTGAGACTCCCAAACTCTGATGAAAATTACTTCTCATGCTTACTAACAGTAAGCATGTGAAGTATTTTTCATCAGAGTTTGAACATCTTATACACTGTTACCAACTATGATTTCCTTCTGGGAAACAGATTTTTAAAATTGGCAGAACAGATCAACGTGTAGTAAATTACAACAGCGTCCAACCAGGAATATTGATTATTAAACCCTCAAGCGAGCTCTGAGTAAACATCGGGTTTGCATTACGTGACACAATACTGAAAAGAATGTGAAATATATTGACACAGAGAGTTATCAATAACCGCTTTTCTCCTAGGTGCATTTCTCATTTGATACCGACACAGGCCCGATGATATATACAGCGACTCATATGGGGCTGCAAGGTAATCCCACGTGCACTGAGTATTGGGTGGGTATGTTCTTTGTTTCCTATCCAAATTAAAGTCACTTTTATGTTTTCTTCTATTTCAGCAATTTTATTGTCTGTTTCAATTATCACGATTTTATAAATTCATCATTTTAAACTTTAAGATATGTCTATTCATGATTTTTCTATTCACAACAAAACAGTGTATTGCATTTGAATACTGATATAAGCATTCAATTCATATTATCCTTCTATGATAACCCTTCGGCATACATGTATTTTGTTTTCTGTACCAGCAGCAAATATATTTTTAGTTCATATGCCATACATACGATTTAATAATATCTGCTGCGGGAATTTTGCAAAAAAATTCATTGATACTAGGATCAGTTGTAATCCTATGAGTGAGAAGTTGTCAGTAGGTTGTACACAAAAGCTTTGTATTAACATTACTGTTATGATGAAGTCAATGTTGACAAAAACATAAAACCTTTGATATGAAAATTCAACAACGAACTGTCTGCAAAAGGTCATATAATAAACATGTTGATCAAAATTTCTGTTCTGGATTAAATTAACATCGACATACTCGTTAGGAGAATGCACGTAGATATAATATTTGTATTATTTTAATAATATTTTTTTTTATTTTTTTATTTGTATTTGTTACTTACATATGTAATATAATAATCAAACATTTGGTTGGTTTGTTCGTTTTTGGGGTCAAACATCATTGCAAGGGTCATTTAAAAAACGGGTGCCTAGTAAACATCGCCGATCTTACACCCCATAAGGGGTGAGATAGGGGATCTCAATCCAAGGGGGGAAGGGATAATTAAGTTGCCAATCACGAGGCTTAAACTTAATTCTTTATGTTTGTGTATGGTGGTTTATGGTGATATGACAATTATGGTTGTTTTAGCAAATTATCTTTTACATATGAAATTGACGATGATGGGTCTACTTTATTTGTAATTCCATGGTGTTGATGAGAACAAAAAATAACCAATTTGAAACTATGGTTTAATGCCAAGTTAAGCGATCAGGCGGTTATCTTATCTCCTTTTCTAAAATGCATTTTGTGAGGATAACATTTGTGGTATAGACTGACGTGTCAAATTTAAATTTAAACGCTCAGCAGATATTGATGAGATTTATCGTCAGTGACCAGTATAATTCGACACTGAAAGGAAATAGGTCAAGTTTTAAGAGTGGTTGGTTACGTTTTTGCTTAGTCTAGATACAAAAATATCTTGCCGGTATGTATAACATTAGATAATATTGTAAGATCAACATTGTTATCTTCGCAATTTTGAGAGTCAATATATCTTCAACTGGACTATCCTCTTTTACTTGTTCAATGTAACTAGAAAAATGGAAAATCTCGTGAATTAATTAAACAGAATAAACATATTGTTCAACTAGCAATGTCTAAATATTTAGTCATCAATTGTCTAGTGTGTCTTATCATAAACATACGCTTCGATTTTCAGCTGTTTTGATTTTCACTTCAGTTAAAAACAGTTCGGAAGCCGAGTCAAAGGTGAATGCAGTGCCACCTCATCTGTGGATGACGACTGAGCTATAGAGAATGGGGTGTGGTTCAAGTAGCGGTACTAATGATGTTACCATTAACACCAAGAGCAAGAACAGCGGCAGGAACATCCTGGTGGAACCCCTGACTGACCCGGTACGTAACGAAAACACCTTTACGTTGTACAGTTGTCAGCGGACGGAAACATGTGTTAAACGACATCAAATAAGGAAAGGGTAATCTGGCCAGTATGATATTGTGTCAGTGAACATAAATTTATCGGGATCAAGGTGGACAGTGTGAGTTGGCTGACTATGACGGTGATACAATAGGAGATCTTAAATGTTTAATGTCCGTGATGTCAGGATTCATCATAATCAATGAGTGAAAGAGTACCATACCTACATAACTAGGAGTAAGTTTTCTAATTTACGTTACCCAAATTTCAGCAACATGTTTCCCATATCATATCGAAATCCGTCGCAACCACAATAATCGATTTATTAAATACAGACAATGGATAAAATAACGTATTTGAAGGGGAAAAGGCCTGTTACTACTCGCTAAGTTAGTATAGGGAAACGTAAAGAATGCACTAGCTCAATCATAGGTAATTTAAATATAACAAAGGTTTAATTATGAATTAATTATAATAAAATCTAAATTCGAGTTTGTACATAATTGAAGAAGATAAAGGTCATGGATACCTTTTAAAAATCAACACAGTAGGTGGAAACACTGTAAAACTAACACATTACATAGGCTATCACTCAAAATACTTTTCACAAACATTAATGATTATCATTCATGGAAATGTTATAGGTTTTAATAGACTTTTTTTAAATGTAAATTAACATTTTAAGTGAACGAGAGAAGGCAATACCATGATACCTCGAACAGAGCAATGAACTTTGATGTACGTAACCAACCCATGTACAGATAAAGATGTATCCGGTGTATATTTAAAAGTGTATAAACATTCACGGACTTCATCCTAAAATCTTTTCATTTTCTCATTTTATTGGGCTAACAAGATACTCGCTTGTTTTTTTCTCCCTAGTATGATACATGTAGTTATTGTGTGCAAACTGATATAACATTATACAGATGCGAGTCAAAAGTATTATGAAAAAATTGTAACAAAAACATTAATGTTTAGTTATTGTTAGTAGTTGTACATACAATGTTACAAATTGATACATCCCGTGTATTTGTAAGCTAGGTCCTGTAGATTTGGAGTAATGAATGATTAAAAGATCACGTAATCTTAAACAAAACAAACAAAGAACATCCAGGGTGCGGTTAATTATTTTTAAGGAACAATGAACACATTGTTTGGTCAATCAAGATTTAAGCAGTTGGTATGAAAACAAAGAAGAGTTATTATTCAATAAAAAAACATCTTTAAGTTCGGTAAATTAATAATGTAATATTTACAATTCGTTTAATAATCCTTCGATAAGCATACCAACCAAAATGTTGGCATTAACCAATTATATGAATAATTCTCTGCATGTAAGTGTTCTCTTACTGTTAAATTAATCGGAAACAAACTAAGACATGTTGTCGAATTATAATATGGCAGAAACCCCAGGAAATGTTTTCTGACGGAACTGGTAGTCATCGAAAACAAGACATTAATCACACAAAATTGGCTATATGTTTTGGCTAGATATTTAACTAGGCGAATTTTATCAACCTGGTCATAGACCTTATGATATAGGTCACTTTGCTGTCCACAGAATATTTGTTTGATGTTGAACCACCTCGTAACAGCAAATACAGTACATGTGCTTGTTTATTTCAAGTTGAAAAGAAGTTAACTTTCACTGTCCTGAATACTTCTATATGTTTTACTCGTGTTTCGGTATACGTCGTTAAATATGATGGCATTCAACGGGTAGGATAACCTAATATGTATTCATATATAGATAACTTATCTAATACTTTGTTGTACACACAATACACAGACTTGTGGAGGCCAATAGGACACTGTGCTACCGGGTATGTGTTTTACCTTATATAAAATATGTAACACATTATTGATTCCTTTTTATCGTGATTTATTGCATGAAGTGTATCAGTCGTCTAACAAGGCTGGAAATCGTCAATAACAATGGGTTTTAAACAAACAGCCACATAGTATGTGTTAGCACTTGACCCAAAATGTTAACCGTTAGTTTCTGACACATGAAGTGGTTCAATAAATTATTAGAAACCCGGCAGGAGAGTGTTTTTTGCATACTCCGAGTGATTTTTTTTGATATATTTTGATCAACTGGCGTTATCACAACGGTCTAGAATACAATGTATATGTTTCAAATTGAGAGAGAGAGAGAAATGAATAGAAACAAAAATCAAGAAATTACAATCGAAATAAAAAAATAATTGGGAAAGGTTTGGTTAATAATAAGGTATGTCTCACTAAGTGTAAAACATTATGGTACCTTTGCTTTAATTTTTTCAACGTTGTTGTGAAGGGTATTATATGTAACGTTTTTGTTAGTAATTAATGTTAAAGATTTGGTTTTATTATGTTTTACGTCCTGTTAACATCTAAGGTAATATAAGGACTTATATTTATGTGTTGTGTATGCAAGCATGTGTGTTTGTGTGCCGGAGACAGGGTATGTTGGTGTATTTGCCTCCTTGTGATAGCACGGATATGATGCCGACTTTATAGTGCTATTTCACTGAAATACCATGACGAAGGCACCAAGCACAGTATTTCGCCCGGTCACATTATACTTACAACGGGTGAGCCAGTTGTTGCCTTTACCTATTGCTGAACGTTAAGCAGGGAAATAACATCTACCATTTTAAAGATTTGGATATGTCCCGGTCTGTGAACAGAACCCATTGTCTTCCTCACCTGGGCAAACGCTCAACATTAATGCCAAATTTAAGGTGTTGCCAAGCAAGGCGCTAAGAAATCAAAGGTAGTTAGAATAAGAGAGAAATATCAATATCCCAAATATTGCAAAAGGTGCAGCAGATTAAGTTTGGTCGTTTTTGTGTCCCAAAGTAGAAAGCACAACATCAAATCCCAAATTATGCAAGGGATTCCCTCATTAGTCGCCTCTTACGATACATGCAGTGGGTAACAGCAGGTATATTCTGTTATCGATCCCCGACCTGCAGGGGTTTTTATGTTTAAGAAGAAACCCTCAAAGCTACACACCTCATTTGTTTTATATACTACATCGAACAAGTTCAATGTGCCGATTAAAGCGAATTTTACTGATTTGTTTTCATAGTATATTATAATATTACGTTTACACTTTCTTCTTTTAATTCTTCTCAATTTATCATGGTATGTTATTTAATATTTCAGGCCGATTTCCCTTATATTCCTGAGGGGTATCCGCCTCCAAAACCATCGCGGACAAAAAAGGCTACCCTTTTTGACGAATCCAAGTACACCAACATTGAAAAGCGAGCGATAGATGTAAGTGATTTATTACTTACTGCACATACGTGCACATGAATAAATCTTATCCAACTTTTCGTATCAGCGACGTCCCCATAGAAACATTGACAGGACCGTTTTCAGAATGATGCCACGGGATACGGTTTCATGCTACCCTGCCAATGATTCATGTTTACTAAATTTCAAAAAGTTCATTTTTTTTTTATAAATCTCTTAAATCATACACACCAAAAGCGGTTTACCACTTTCAGTCCTTTCAAATATTCCCCCAAATCACTGGGAAAATATGCAATTTATATAATTTATCACCGAAACAAGGAAATGGAATTGAGCATATACTTTAAAGTTTGGGCATGACGGTTTCGGAAATGCAGACAAAGGTTATATATTTCAATTAGACTGCACTTTAAATAGGCGTCACGCATTTTGCGGACACCGTCATCATAGGTTCTGTCCTGTCACAAAGACGTAAAACCCCAATCGATAAATCACAGGCCCCTTTAGGTTTATTTTCAAAAGACGTCGTTACTATTGCAGTGTGATGACATGTATTTAAGACATCATGATGTCATTTTTTACTAAACCTGAAGAGCCATGTGAAGGGAGAAAGCTGCTCAATCATTCATGACTTCACATGAACATTTATTCTTTTTAACAAACATTTTTTATGTATATCATATTTAGCTATCTCTTTAATAAATATGTTTATTAAATATACATCAATGCGAATGCACAAAACACTAACATATTTCTTCAAAAAGACAAACGGATAAAAAAAAATGGAAGTTATTATCTTATAGACATCAATCATTTGATTGATAAATGTTGACCTTCGTCATTGTACTTCATTGATTAATGCGTTCCGTATCTCATCAATGAATTGAAGGCGCCTGAAGCAGCTGGCAACAGTTATACGGAATTATTTGAGCATCTATTCAATGGGCTGAATAAAAACCTTGAGAAAGTTAGGGCTATATTCTGTTGGATCGGACACAAAAACCAGACACCATGCAAAGGTGGACCAGACGATTCTCCAAATGCAATTCTACAGCAAGTCCAGAATGCGAACATGTCGTTTGCATACATGTTCGCAAGATTATGCAGGTATTTCTTACATTATATTCCCCTATTACATGTACAGCCCTAGGGAAAAGAGGGTCTTTCCAAACGTAATATAAAACACCAATGTTCTATCTTAGTGTCACAATGCTGTACTATATTTCTATTAAGTTCCAACAAGCTCCTTGGAAAATGGTATAGCCTTTCTAAATGTCAACCCTCAGATAATCATATTCAAAGACTCAAACTTATATATGGACTTGCATTAAAGCGAATTTGTACACTAACTATTGAAATTGTACATAGCGACGTTTGATTAGTCTATAAGAAGGCTTTAAGGCTGATGTCTTCATGAAAGTCGTTCACCGGATTTATAACATATCATTCTTTTTGCTACCCAAATGATTCCTACGAAATTACATATTATCTAAAAATGATTTATATATTGATGTAGATGTTGCTATGTGAAGTCCTTAAATCACAGTAAAATTCCCTGATAATGTATTTTGGCAGATTTAAATCAGAAAACAAAGATGACGTAACCTAGAACGATTAATGAACTGTAAATGATGTGTCATTTCATAACACTCTGTGATGTTGCAAATGCGATAGACATGTTATCAACTTTGTAAATAAAAGGTGTTATAGTGTTATTTTTTTCTAGTTTTTATATACTGTGTAACAACAATAAATGTTTGGAAGGAACAATGTATGGGAAGCTCATGTATTCATTACAGTTACATGGCAACATGTGTACTCAGACAATTTACCATGACGTTTGTGCACTCCATTAGCCACAATCATCGTCTACATGAAGCCCCGCATGTCCTAGGCATATACAATAACTTCAGATAGTATAGCGTCTCGCAGCATTCAGCTGTGTTACAAACGAGATAAACATTGTACAAGTCCACTGAACGATTTTTAGCAAGACCTCAGCCTTAATACCATATTACTGATTATGTTAACCTCGTTATGCACCATTCTCTTAGCTTTGTTCAATACCTTTAAATTAAAAATAGGACTTCCGACTTTTAATAAGTGTCTTTAGATATGACTTATCAGGGGGTTGGTATTTTGGATGACCATACAACTTTTCCAGGGGCTTCAGAAACCTTAACTCTCCGGAAGCAAAATGTTGTTCCGCAACGATAGATTGTTACTCATATTTATCTATGTGATATTCTCTAATTGTTATATACTTTTTGTAACATAATGCTGTTATTTTTTTTTCCTTTTCTATTTTACTTAATGATCATACAACCCTTTTTCCAAAACATTCACTGAACGGTCAATAGTTTTACCCGTGGAAGGTTTGTTTTGTCATCCCTACGGTATATTTTCTCTGTCACCCGTATGGTATGACAGATTGCGCGCGAAATGGAACGCGGAATACAATGAAGTCATGGGAACAATAAAATATATGCCGTCATTATCAGATTTTAACACGGGAGGTCGTGTGTAAAATCACATATAACCATTGCTTTCATATATATGATTGACAGGATGGGAAAAATAAATTAATCTCCTACAATGATTGCATACCATCGAAATAGCAACCCTCGGTGTGGGATTCTTTAATGTTTAACCCTTGGCTTGAAGTAGGCCTCGAGCTATACAATACATAACATTACCACTTCGTTTGACATTTCTCACGATAGGGGAAAGATCTATGTGTTATATGAGCTTATTGTCACACGTGTTGTTCTCGGTATTCTTCGATAATAATTGTGTTTATTCTATATTTTCGAAGCTTAAGGAAGCGCATTATCATTAATATTATTACGTTATTGTTATTGATTTATAGTTCCATACTTATATTTATGCTGATTATTGTTGGTTTTCGAAATTAGGGAAGCAAATATCCCCTGTGTGATTATCAGGGGAGTAGCGAAGAGTGCTCGGTACGAAGTAGGGGATGACGAGGCCAAAGTTAGTGAACTAAACAATCGGTGGAATGGAGTGTTTGTGGCAGGCGAGTGGAGAATTGTTTTCCCACAATGGGCATTCTCGGCTCTCGCTGGACATAGCACTGGCAAATTTACCCTCGTAGAAGCAGAAGGTAAGGCCCACTGAATTCTTTCTACTGCTAAAACGAATTTGCATTTCCCTGTAAACACTCGATTTTGATGACAACTGGTCGTGTAAAATAATAAGTCGAGGAAATAGGTAGTCTACATTAAATCAACATACGATATGTGATAAGTTAATAAAGAAGGAATATAAAACTAATGTTAATTTCAAGACACTGACGGATTCGGAGGAAGACTATGCCTGACAATGGGGACAACGAAAGCATTCTGAATTACATTCACTTTCTTAGTGCGTCGCATCTATCAGGTCCATCGTTTTAAAAGGAATCAGATGCTTAAAAATTAAAGTAAAGGAAAATTAAACACTGTTTTCTTGATCCGGTGTACAAATCACACTCAACAATATGCCTTTTAGGTGTGCCATGCTTGTGTCTGTAGACGAAGCATCTAATAACTTATAAAAAAAACGTTTTAGCGCTGGCTCTTCTTGTTACTCCCCCACACATTTATCAGAACTTCTCGCTTCCATTATCAGTACCATTGTATCAGGGTCACGGTCATGTTGTGACGCTCTATATGCAAAAAGTGGAATTAATGTTTACATTTCGTAGTTGATTCGCTATTCAAGAGCTTGCTTAGAATAATATGATAAATGTCGACTGCTGACGGACAAACTGTCAACCAGGGGAGGGTTTCCAAGATGCAGTTTGATGAAGACAAGTTTTATGCTCGCCAACATGGTTTCATAGGAAAACATGTTTTTTCCTTGCATGAGTTAAAAGTCCATGTTTTTGATAATGATAAAAAGTGTGCCATGTTTTAAAGTCACTACCAGAGTTTCGATAGGACGACGTGACCTATATTTACAAAGCAGAAGGCGCTTACCCTCCTGTAACACCAGGTCTTACACGTTTTCAATGGTCTTCATGTAAATAGTTTTTTCATATTCTTCCCAAGTGCTATTGATTTAGAGTTCGAATAATTTTGTTGTTGACACTTGACACACGAGTGAAAAGGTAGTCGTATACGAATTGCTACTTCAAATGACTTTTAATGAAACGCGCTTCAGTTACGAGTTTAAAAAATATCATTTGGAAATGAACGAATTTAAGAGCTTTTTGAGTTGAACAAATAAACATATTTTAGAATATTCACATTTGATAACTATGAAGGAATCATGGTGTCATCATGTAACTTGATTTTAAGCAAACAAATGTAAATAAATGAAAACTCGTTTTCAGACTTGATACCACCTGTGGCGCATACTCCTTTCATTTCTGTTCTATTAAACGGATTTTGAGTTTTGAAACACATACTGTGGTAGAACGTTTAGTTATTTCAGACGTTTTGTATTGGTGATCAATTATTCTGGCTAACAAATTCTTAGTAACCTCTTGATATTGAAGTGTATGTGAAAATGTGCCACACGAAGTCAAATATACACAACGCAGAATGCAGAGGTTACGGATCGCAAAACAATATACGATGTGCGGTGAGCGCAGATTGCCTACATGGTGTCTTTATTGTGAAAACACTGTGTTCGAACATCGAAAGCTTTGCAATAGCTATCCTGTTAGGTATAAGTTAGGAACAATATTCGAATGGATTACGAAAGAAATTTATTTCTGAACAGCTATATTTCCTGATCTCGTATGTCAACCACTTTCATTTGATTTTTATTAATCTATATTTTATTTTATTTTAATTTTTGTTCTTTTTGATTGCTTGTTTGAAACGAATTTCATCAATTTACGGATAAAACATCTTTCAAACAAGGTATTGTACAAGTATACCGATAAACTTGGTCGCCTTCCTTGAGTTGTTTAATCAAACCATTCTCGTAGAAAGATAAACGTTTCACCTGTACACAGGCCGAACAATTTGAAGAAGCTAGCAAGGTCAGAACGGAACCATTTATAAGACCTATGACGACTGAGTACTTTTTGATAACTTGTGTAACCTCACACGCCGAGTTGTGCAAATGGCGTATGTGACACATAGAAGGAGAAACCACAGGCTGAATATATGCTAGAGAAGGTTTTCAAAGCGCAAAACTAATTGCGTCAGAACACTGGGCACGCAAAAATATTACAATGTCGAGTTTTGTTTTAATGATGAGTGACAAATCACCGATCAGCCCTTTTTTCAGCGATCAACAAGAACCTTCCAATTCCTTTTGGTTCCGTTATATTTAAGAACAAATCGTCAGTGCGAAAATTAGTGTACAACGGGGCCAAAATTGTTTAAATGCAGTATTATGCGCACAAGATGCGCACGATTTTTGATGCCTTAAGCGGTCAAACAATTATAGGTGATTTACTGATTTCTTTATTAAGCACAAATTATTGTTGCCCTATTTGCAGGAAATGCAGCTCGGGAGAAGCAGACGAAATCAACGGGTGTGAGTATTGTTCAGTTGAATGAGTATTACTTCCTGCCTGACCCTGAAGATTTTGTGCATGAAGCTATGGCTACAGAACCAAAATGGCAGTTTATTGCAAAGCAGTTTAACATGAAAAAGTTTTGTAGTGTTCCGCTCCTTCAGGAAAGCTACTTTGACCATAACGTTGAAATAACCTACGGATTTAACTCGCGTTTATACTCTGAATACGGCGTGGTGACAGTTGGATTCAAAGCAAGAAATGAAAAATGGGAAAGCTTTTTGACGTACGAACTGTATTTTAATGACGAAGAATCCGATTCAGTCTTGCCGACAGATTTGCAGCTGGACAGGTATGTTGTGATGGAGAGGAATTTCGAAAAATGGACATTTAGTATTAGATGCCCTGTCACCGGAGTGTACAAATTATGCATTTATTCTGAGTCCAGTGCAACAAAAACATTGCTTTGTGAATTCAAAATGTTCTGCGACGAAGTGACGGTAGGTGGCACCAAAGCTCTTCCGTTGAATGTTGGTCCAATTGGCTGGGGTCCAAGTAATGAAATGGTTAAGGCGGGGCTAACAACACCATCACAAAGTAAAGGAATCGTCAAGGCCACGGCCAAAAAAGAAGTAAATTTCAGTTTCACTTGTTCGAGAACTGTTGCTATAAGGACAGTTCTTGTTCATAACGAAACATCTACAGAGGAACTTCAGTCATATGTGTCTCATAAGCGTGACAAAAAATCCAACAAGTTGAATGTGGCAGTGTGTGTGCCTGATGAAGGAGAGTATGCACTGCAGATCCACACCAAAGACAAAAACACGAACAAAGAACTGAACGCATGCAACTACATTATCTCTACTGAACCGACACCACAACAAAAGAAAAAGAAAAAAAAGAAACGGGAGGTAGGTGACATGCTTTTACATGTTGATTAATGAATATCCTTGGTTTAGCGTGAGGGCTATCAGTAAGTAACACATAACAGCATTATTAAATAATATAGTCAAAGTCTACTTCATATTCCAGATAGATTAAAGACTTTATCAAAATTTCAATTGTCATTCCATTAGTGTTTCATGGATGACTTAGCAACGTTCTAACATAGAATATATCTAATGAAAATATGTTGAATATACATGTTAGTGTTTGGAAAAAGACAGCAGACCTCTAGGTATCCCCCCTTTTTGTATAAGATTTAACAAAATCTTATATCATTTGTTAACAAAGATATCGCCCTTATGAGCTCTTCGAGAAGATCAAAGTTAGATAACTATGGAGTCAGTGACACTTGATAAACAGCATAGGTTACTTGAGCACTCATTTACGACATATTAGTATACCTTTTACCGCCTATTTTCCATTTTCACGCATTCGCTATCGCTATCGCTTTCAGAACGTGACCGAAAGGAAGGCAAGAGATGATTTGAAAATGACATCGACTGGAAACGATTTGGAAATATTGACAATATCCATAGCTAAGTTCCAGACGATGGGTTTAGAAGATAAGGGTGATTTAGAAGATGCTCTGAAGAGACAAAACGTTCTTAAATTGGAGAAAGGTACCTTTCTATTCTTTAAAAGATAAAGATAACTATTTAAAATGTGTGCTTTCTTACTTCTGTATTTGTAGATTTAATGTGTTCTTCGCCTTGATGTCGCAGATTTTATAGCATTTTGTAGATTATGTAGTAGTATATATGTTTTTGTTATCGCAAAGGTCTAAACGAAGCCATTATGAGGCGTCATATTGACATTCTGGATACTGCCATTGACAAGGCAGAGAAGTCAGAATTCAAGTCTCAGCTCGCACCAAAGATCGGAGAGGCGGATCAGGTGAGGCAGGAGCTGATCAAACTGAACAGATTTGCACACGACATACTGGCTATGCGACAACCAACGGTATCTGAGCTCCATAGCTACAAGATACCAAAACCCCCTGTAAAGGACGTGATGGTGGCAACCTTCACTCTACTTGGAGAATCAAAAGATAACTTAGAGGTAACTGTATGGAACAGGAATAATATTAATTCAAACACAAAGGTTTATGTGATATCAAGACATATCATATTTTACAACTAACCTCATTTCTGAGAAACGTAAAATCTGTTTTTGGCCTTTGTAAAATAAAAATAAAAATTAAAAAAATCTTTCTCTGAATTTTCTCATCTAATTTTATAGTTTCTCTGTAATCGTTGCTGTAGTTTTGCAAAGACTTTGATTCACCTATTTGTCCTGAATATTGACGATAGATAGATATTTATTTATTTTTCTTCTCATTTTGTTGCATTGTGTGTTAGTTGAGTGTATGAAATCCTTGCATAAAAACTGCAGGTTCGGTGAAAGAATGCGCTTGCTGTACCCCATCCCCATTGAATGACCTAAGAGGCGATTAATGGGGTGCCCCTGAAGAGTTACTGGTTTTCTTCCTTGTCTTCTGTTAAGGGTATATTGAAGAGAACAAATTGATCTACTAACCCAATAGTAACATCTTTACATTTTCTTCCTCTCCCTTAAAATTTTTGATCCTTAGTATCTTGCTTAGCAATACCGTTCTTTTGGCCGTATTGTTGAACGTTCGTCCAAGTGTGGTAGGAAATGGGTTCCTTCCCTAGGCCGGGACATTCCAAAGTTCTTAAAAGTTGTAGTTGTTATTCCATGCTTAACGTTCAGCATTTATAGTAATTTCACAAATGGGTATCCCGGCATGGTATTTTAGTGAGGTAACACTCTAAATTCGGAAGCAGATCCGCGCTAGCATAAGGAGGCAAATATTACAACATACCGCCTCTGTCAAACATACACTCATGCTCGTGTACATTTCACACACGGAGGCACGTCCTTAAATGACCTTAGATGTTAATAGGACGTAAACAGAATAAATTATAACCAAATCAAGAAAGAAAATCAAAAGATAATTTTGTCGAAATCCAAAATATGTTTTAGAAAAAGTGTAAAACAATAATCCAATTCCGTAAAAAAATCGTTGTTTTCATCTTTGCTAAATTTTAAACTAGTCTAAGGTAATTATCATGTTGATAGGTTTGGCAGGACATTAAGACCTTATTGAGGAGGGTAGGACCTAATTCCTTAATGCGTCGTGTCCGGCAGTTTCCTGAAAAACAAGCCCATAATGTGGATGAGAGTACCGCGAAGGAAGTCCAGAACATGATCCGGGTATATGAAGAGGACACAGTCCGGCTTTGTAGTCCTGCTGCTGGAACATTCTACGTCTGGGTGAGAATATGTTTTGGTATCAACTGCTAGCTTACAGCACGCCAATAAATTAACAAACATATGAATAACGATAGTTGTATAAAGTTCTCAGTCGTTGATGAACCAGTATGTAAATATTAAAATAGACTTTAAGCAATTTATAATGAGAAATCAAAGGACCACGATATACACATAGCATTAGAGGAGGCACGGTAGTCTAGTAGTAGGACGTCGGGCTCGTGACCGAAGGGTTGCGGGTTCGAGTCACGGCACGGCACTGTGTTGTATCTTTAAGCAAGGCACTTTACTACGCTTGTTCCAGTCTACTATAATGCCCTATAACCACGGATAATAATTTGTGAACCGCTTTGAGACGACACGACCTACAAACAAGGTTGTGATAAAGTGGTATATACGAAACTCGAATTATTATTATTATTATTAGGATATTAAACTTGAACACATTTTGTGTACAGAACGGAAATACACAAACATTTTACATACATATGTATAAAGATATGTAATTAAACTATAATTAAACGGCACTATGATATCATATTTGTCCATATCTATATATAGAATACATATTATTACACGGTGTATTAGAAAACTAACGTATAAGCATTAACCGAACGTGTTAATATGACATCTAACCGCTAATTGTGTAACAGGTCAAACACTTATTCTAAACGAAAATCAGGACAACAAAGCCAGTCATGCAACAAACAATTCGTGATATTTCAAATAATGAACAGTACGATAATGAACTTATAATTCCATGTGACTGTTACAGGTTAACAACATTGTGACAGATATCATCGAGAACGGTAATACAAGGAATAAGGGTACATAGACATTGTAGCCATTACAGGAAAAAAGATTGGCGTCGATAGTTGGTTCTCGGAACATCACTGCACGTTACGACATGAAGAGTGTTTTCAAAACTCCACTACTGTCTAATCTCGTCGAGTCGAGGGAATCGTTGTTTACAAATACTGAAAAGTCATTTTCCTAGTTCGCTATGCCTGAAGCTGTCATAAGCTTATCTTCACTTATCGTGGACTTGGTTGGTTTGGTGTTTGAATAGCTATGGTAATTTAAAGACGTGCCAGGTTATTGTGGTGGAGGAAAACCGGAGTACCCGGAGAAAAATGTTCCGACCTGCGACCAGTACCTTGCGAATGTCCAACTTAGGCCTAGAGCCCGCGACCAGTGGTGGTGGTGGTGGGGGCTAGTGATAATTCCATTCAAAATATATTTTCTTTATTACATTATAAATCGGATTGGCAACATGTCATAGATGTCAGACACCAGAACCACTCAGCCCCCGTACACAGACATTAGTTTACATTTTTATCAGATTAATTTGTTTTTATCCGAATGACTCAAATATGAGGTGTTGATTGTGAAATTCCGTAAAATGTCCTTTGAAAACAAAATGTACGATATCAAACCGAAATTTATTCTATATGTTAAGTGTTAAATTGTAAAAAATCAAAACGTAACGCAGCCATGATAATGAGTGTTACATTAGGACTGTCTCACGTGTGATGTGTATTGGCAGTAGTAACGTGGTAAGGCTATAGCTTATTTTAATTACAATTTATTTGATTTTATTTTTAAAAAGACGTTGGTTTTTTTTTCAAGATTTAAAAGAATGACAAAGCGGATCCCAATACAAGCAGTATTCTGCTGATGGAAATCTGCGGCATGACTCTGATAACACTTTAGTCCAAATGTTATGTTTTACATTTACTTGTATTTATACAATTGGTGATAAACTACGTAATGCCAAAACAGCATGTACATTCTAGTTATTTATATTATACTTTATTTACATATATTTGTTCTCGCTTTTTTAACTTATATTGTACACTATTAGTGTAATATTTATGTATATTTTTATTATTCATTTGTAATTAATACATGAACTGGAACTATGTTATGTATATCTATATCGATTGGAATTGTACTTTCAATTTGTATTCTAATGTATATTGTATGTCATTTATATTCTAATGTTTATATTATTGTTGCTTTAAATAATATATTTCCCTGTCTATTAATGACAACAATTGCAAATTGAAATATAGCTGTTTTTGATTTTGGCGAATGTTAATCTTCGCGAATGTGTAGCTTGTAGCACAATCTTGAAAATATGTACTCGTAATATCAAAATGATACGAAGAATTGAATACACTCTCTATTTATATCTAACATTTACACCTGCGTTAGAGTCACTATTGCTATTCATGTGAAATCTTAGATCTTATATATATATATATCTTTGAACACTAACATTCGTTTTTATCTTCATTAAAGCATTTTGCATGTATTTAAGTCCCCAACAAGGGACAGTGATGCCAAATGTTTTGTATCACTTGCACACCTACGTTCAGCTCTGATTGGAGGAGCTACGACATGTAAGGAATCTGTTACAGACCCCATTCTATCGACAAAAAAGGGTCGCGTACGTATTCCCAATTAGCAGGTTTTTGAATCTCTTATAGACTAATCCGAAAAATAGAATAAGTCTGCTACAAATTTACAAGTCTCATTGGAGAGGAGACTTCACGTGAGGAGTATGAAACAATCTTACAGACTACATTGTGGGAATAACAATAAGTGTTAGAAACTAAAATGGATTATTCCATCATTTGATTTAGAATATTTCAAATGTGACATACGTCATCATTGATATACCTCACATTACATTACACCTTNCCCCCCCCCCCCCCCCCCCCCGGACTTATACCATGTCAATCTCTTCTACGACCCAAATGAATACTAAGAAATGACCTTATTTTAAGTTTCGTTTTGTAGATTTTAATTGGATGCATATAGCGGTTGTTACTTTTACCAATGCTAATAACAAATGCACATTTGTTTTTATTTAAGTATTTCGATCTATGTAAAAATAATTTCAGCCTCTTTGTATTACATTGCTCCCTATACGAGTTACCATATACCAATGAGTATTGCCGGGTGCGCACTAGCCTTTCACTAAAACGGCCTGGGTGCAACTCCCCTTTCGTCGTGAAATGTTTATTGATGATCCTAGCCTTCTGCCAAATTCCAGAAAGGAAATGTGTTTTTGAAATAGATGCAAGCAGAGTTCATTGTACCGATCATATCATGTAAAACCTACTACTGCCACGTTTTAAGTTAGATACACGTATCTGGATGTACACATCTACATGTACCAATCCACACGTAAACCCTTATAAACTTACTCACCTAAACGTACCCTCCTTAACGCATTCCCGGAAAAAGTACCTAGCTACAAATACCCGAATAACCATACACTCCTTACAATTACCCCTAGAGGTACTCATCTAACGTACTCACTTTATTGTACTGATGTAGGTGTATCCCTTAAATTACCACGTTCCCATAAAAACTATCAACCTACATGTAAAGTATAAACACTTAGATGTTATAGATACAATAATTAACATACCCACGCATGCATATCGTTTTCAATATCCCTCCTAACCTCACGTATCAAGATGAATAAAACGACCAACACGTACCCATGAACACTTACTGCTTTGTTAAACTCATATTTACGTGTCTTGTAACACAGCCTCGCCAGTGTCGTTATATTCATATCAGTGATAAATGTCGAATTCTGAAAGACAAGCTTACTACACAGGGTTTAGTGACATGCTTATTAATGAAGACCAAGGGAAAGATCTATGGAAATCTATTTCTTTGTGCGATATGGATATCGGCTTTTTTTGTTAACCTCATTAGCACGCCTTGTGTTTTTTTTGGCAATGTTCCATATTCGTTCTGAGGACGCGATATTAACTGGATTCGACCTAGCCGCTTACCCTTCCGGACCACCTCGTCCTTATTCTATTGTGCTTTTCCGAGGTCTCCGAAAAGTATTTTAAATTTGGTTTATTTTTATCCAGGAGGTAGTCATCAAATTTCATTTAGAAAAAGATTTGTTGGCGATTATATATTTCCTTGTTTACTTTTCCATTATTTTGTAAAATTAAACAAAAATGCAAACAGAGACAATTAGCCTTATTGATGTTTTTTTTATTCATTTTTTATCTTTATTTTACTGATAGTCTGTACGTATAAAGACGGAGGTGAGGCAGTTTTCTTACGTAATGATGTCACAATTTAAAAAAAGGCTTACAGCACGAGATATATTTTATCTAATAAATTTACATATAAAGAGATCAGTCTTTGATCTGATATATTAACACATAAAGAGATCAGTCCTTGATTTATATAAAATATCACATCAGATGATTATAATGACTTAACACTTTTTTCTAAATTTTAAGTTACTCTACTACCCATGTGTACGAAAACTGACTAAAATTGTTTAGCTACCGTTCCCCAAAAGTACGTTTGTACACAAATCAATTGGTGTAGTAGACATGGAGGAATGTAGTTTACCCCTCGTTTTACAAACGATAAATTCCTGTTTAAATGTGATGTATTTGTAATTACATGTTAATGTATATATTCGGTCAAGGCCAGGCTCTGCTAAGGAATGTACCGGTACATATCTTAGGTAAAAGTATTCATACACATATAACATTTAACAGTGGGATCCTTGTGCACTGTTTTGATTACAAAAAAAGGAGTTTGTGTGTGACCAGTGTTTAAAGGAAAATGTGAACATATAAAAAATAAAACGAGCTGTTTATAAAAGCAGATCAATACAACTTTGTAAATCGGTAAATTTATAGTACAGATCAATACAACTTTGTAAAACAGTAAGTTTGTAGCACAGATTAATACAACTTTGTAAATCGGTAAATTTGTAGTACAGATCAATACAACTTTGTAAATCGGTAAATTTATAGTACAGATCAATACAACTTTGTAAAACAGTAAGTTTGTAGCACAGATTAATACAACTCTGTAAATCGGTAAATTTGTAGTACAGATCAATACAACTTTGTAAATCAGTAAGTTTGTAGCACATATCAATGCAACTTAGTACAACAGTAAGTTTGTAGCACAGATCAATACAACTTTGTAAATCAGTAAGTTTGTAGTACATATAAGAACGTGGTCTTTTTGTACGTCTTTATTAAGATCAACAATGAACACAGTCTGAACATTTACCAAACGATGTGTTGTTCCGATGATAAACATAATTAACATTGGAAACGAGACAAAAGAATAATTGACACAGTGCATTAATGAACAATAAGTAAATGTAGTCAATGTAGTAACATAATAACTGAGTATCAATGATTACTTACAAATACTATGCCTTAAACAGGCTAATGTAAGAGTTTCCTCAAATGACTCCATTTGTATTACAAATGGCGAGTTTCCATCCAAGGGGAGTAACTCTGAAATGCCTCGATTATAAAGGGAAGTAACTATGTAATTATCATTGTCAATAAACAATTATCATGTATCCCCCTTCGAGTCTTTTGTAATATTATGAAACAAAGGCTGTTGTGAAAAGGAATTGTATCATATGTTTTAAATTACATTGACTAGAGCCTTGACTAGGCAGAACACTTAAGCAAAACAACGCAAACACAGAAATAATGACGAAGTCAGAAAATATTTACGAAGTCCGAAACGAACCGCGGTCTTATCAGATTCATAAGACGTGTGTCGTGATAAGACACCTACATATCAAAGTCACTATGCCACGCAGGCTTTTTTGTTGCGCGACTCGACTTGCGCAGTGGTGTAGTCTGCACGGAATGGCTTGGTGATGGGTTATTTCGTTGTATGGTAAGTGTGAGTGGAGGCACGAGAGGGACTGATGCGTTGGTAGTTGGCTCCACCGGCTCGCTGACTGTGGTAGCAGTTGTTCTGTGTGGATCTGTATGTGGAGGTCTATTGACTCTGTGGATACGA